TGCAGTCATAGTTAGGAACGGATCGCATAATAAATAACTCGAGAAATCCATACTTTATAAGAGAGATCCTATCGTTTTCGCAAATACTGTGAAAGGCCTGCAAATTGCGAAACATTTGCACCAACTTCTGGATCTGGTATTCAAATCGGCGGCCAATCACTCGTATGATATCCCTCTCAATCAATTGACTCGACTTCTGGGGAACGGTAGGCTCGATGAACACATGGGTGGCCGACAGGAGTTCCCGTAATTTATTGCCCTCTAATTCACTTAAATGCGAGATCCGGTAGTCTGTGAGGGGTCTGTCCACCGGTACGTCTTGTATAACCATCGGCCCGTTATTGATAGGTATGCCTGTTATCTGTGAGTCTTCAGGCGTGGTCTCTTGTGATGCCGTGATGTCTATAATATGAGTGTCCGGATAACTGTCGGGTATTTCACATGAAGTAGTATTTATGTCGTTAACGGCATTCCTATCGTCCGGTGCTGGGGTCGGGTCGTGTGTAATACCGTCACTGAGTAGCCGTTTCCGTCTCGTGATCTCAATCTTGACTTTTCGCAGGGTTTTCATCTCATCCGTGAATATCCAGTCCTTTAATTATATAAAAATATTTAATATTAAAATGATATGTATCAAGGTCAAAACAGTATATAATTGCTAGTAATAAGTAATTAATAACTGATAACTAGTATTTATTTTGTATTTCAATAGGTAATTAGTGATTTTTATATGTACTGTATCAAATTTATGCTAGTTAACATTAATGCACATACTTTTCTCATTCCCATTGCATAACACTTATTGAGTCGACATTTTCGACAAATATTTCTCGTTTTCAGTCGTATTTCACATTTGTTTTGATAAAAACACTGCAACTCCTATGTGATATGAAATGAGTTATTAATTAATTACAATTAGTAACGTTTTATAACAATTACTTACGTTAAGCCTATTAGCGTGGCGTTTAAAAAACTGTTTACACGACTGGCACGATAGGCAGTCAAAGTTTTTGAATATGAAATGAGTTATTAATTAATTACAATTAGTAACGTTTTATAACAATTACTTACGTTAAGCCTATTAGCGTGGCGTTTAAAAAACTGTTTACACGACTGGCACGATAGGCAGTCAAAGTTTTTGCCTAAATATATGTTCAAAATGTAAATTAGTAAATTAAACATATACAATAGATTTATTACCCTGAGCTTTATCGCCACAAATGAGACACAAATCACCAGACTCCTCGTTCATATTTTAATACTAGTTTCAATTATATTAAATTATGAAAACTTGATTATTAATTTTAAACTACTAAACCCGATTATTGTGTATTTAATTATAAATAACATGTAGCATATGCACTATAATCTGATAAGACTCGGGTGAGTTTCTACGGCTACAACGTGTGATAATAAAACATACACTTTTTATCTCATGTTTTTTGAGATAAATTACAGTTTTTTTTAATAAACCTATTTTTGTGAAATGTATTGAATTTATAGATGAAAACTGATATTTATGTTGAAATACAGAGTATCTGTAACTTGAGGACATTTAGTAAACTTGGCAAAATATATAAAAATGTTTGCTAGTTAAATATTTTTACAACTTACTAGTAGAAAAGGTAATTTATAACTTTCTCATAAAATATGATGTTATTTAAAAATAAATTTAATATATTATATGCAGTTATAAAACAATAATTAATAAATTGATTATACTTATTTAAATACAGTAATTTAAAATTTAATTAATTTTTTAGAATGATCATTAAAAATAAATAAATTTTAATTTAATTCAAAAAACAGCTACATAGAAATTATTAAAAAAATATTCACACATTGAATTACAAAAAAACTAAAAATGATAAATAAATAAATAAATAAAACAACTAATCATTTATAATAAACAAAATAAAAACTAATTTTCCATGTGATCGATAGAGACCGCGGTAACTAAGTCCATGAGACTATAATACGTGCCCAATACAAATGCCAATAAACCGATCACGGTGATTGTGAGATTTCTACCAAATAGCCATGCTCGAGCCCCTTGACCTTAAAGATTTTATTAAATTTAATTAATATTTATTTTACAATATTTATAATTTTACATTACTCACTTTTACATAAACTCCAAAAGCATATCGTATGCAAAACTGCGGGAATTATGATTTGGATTGAACTGTAATTTATAAAAATAAATATTTATTATATTTTATATGCAATTCATTAAGCTTATTACCGGTGAACTTATTACCGGTGAACTTATAATGGATTAAAATATATTAAAACTATTTTTACCTGCTAGTTAAAGCTCCCACCAGTGATAAAATTATGTCCAGGTGCGGTATTAAACACGCCATGGCGTCTAATATAAAAACATAATAATTAATCTTTATAATTAGATTTTTAAATAATTATCATAATTGAGTTAGCATACTTACAAGTTAATATTACAGTACTGGTGCGAAACAAATAGTCCACCGTACCGATTACTAGGGGTGACATTTTCTTATCCACCAACTTATTATTGATTTGAGGCCATAGCATTTCAATGGGCACATACATGGTGATCGGGTATGTCATTAGTACGGCAAACGCGTACATCAACTGGACACTTTGGAAAATGGGCTCTGTCAATTAAAATGTTATTTTAATTATGTTTCATAATTAATTGTTTTAATTTTATCCTTACCATTAGGCAGGGATAGTGTGACACTAGCGCCTACATCATCACCATATTTCAGATATCCCAATAGACCGAGTAGAAAGTTCAGGCTAATTATAATGATGTTAACCAGGTCTACTACGCCCACTATGGGACGGGCGAATGCCTTAGGGTTAGCCATTGTGCGGTATAGTGGCATGCCCTAGTTAAATTAAAATGTATAATGATATTTTGTTATAAATTACCCATAAATACCCAGCTACTTTTACTTACTATTGAAATGCCTTCAAAGTTGAATATAGTTGTAACAAAATATAACGGGAACTTTGATCCAACCTTTTTTCTAGTGGACAGGGAGTCCTTATCGAACTGTACAATATTGTAAAATATGATACCCAGGCCGAGCACCTGTAACAAATTGGCTATGGCCGATGGTATAGCCAATATCCTTACATTCTTGATAAATTGTAACAATATGATCAAGGGCAATAGTACGGCTAAATAAACATCCAGTGAAATGTCTTTACCGAAAATGTCGTAGTTATCGAAAAACTAGTTAATTCAGTACGGTCGTTTAATTTTAATTTTAAAAATATATATAAATAATAAAATACTCACAGCTTTTAAATTCTCGGCAATAAATAGGTAGTACACAGCACAGGCTCCCAACTGACTGGCCACTATGAATAGTGATGTTATGAACCTGGCTGTTTTAGCCCAACTACGTAATGTTGGTGGTCCATGTGCAACTGTTAGCTCGGCGACCTTGATAAAAAAAATATTTTTAATGGAAAATTTTTTAATTGTTTTTAGTAAATATTTATGAATGGCACATAACGGAGTACAATTTTTATAGCATTATATAAATTATATAAATTGTAGAGTAATTAAACAAATAAAAAAATATACGCTTTAATTCATTAATAAAATTACTACACAGTGTAGTAATCCTTTATAATAAATGTTTTATGACCCATTGTGTACCAAGCACACGTGAACCTAGAAGTTGTGTAAATTAAATTGCTTTATTACCTGTTCATAGTCCTGTACGGGTAGCTCCAGTTCATCGCATATGTATTCATTTACTCTGACCAATAGATGTACACAATATGTGGTTATAATACCGATTATCGGGGTGCAGATTGACGCGATTACTAATCCACCATCCCTATACATAAGCAAAATTAAAATTAATTATAAAATATCAATTAATTAGCATTTTTGTAACCTAAAATTTAAAATCAATTTTTAAATCACAATATCTGAAACTAATTTTTAAATTAAAAAATATATATCAGCGTTTCACCTTATCTAGCATAAATAAACTATCTTATTTGATAATCTAATAATTAATAAATAGTTAAATTTATAAATTGTTTATAAAAACATAATATTGTAACGTATGACATACCCAAATGCCGCGGGCATAGACAGTATGCCGCTCCCTATCTGGCCATTAAGTAAATGGAGGAACGCCTCCAGACTTGTAGTGGTTCCAGGCATGTTTTACCAAAATGTAAACCAGGTGATTTTTTTATTTCTAAAAACCGGCAGTTCAAATGTGTACAGCTCGCTCAATTTTAAAATGCTTAAGCTGATAACTTTGGCTACTCATTCAGTTCAAAGGACGTAGTCTATATTTTGTGGTGACAAAATACAAACTAACAAAGTACCTAGTTTGAACTTGGTATTTTTGTTTTGAAGTTCGCGAGTGTCTAAAACTCAATGACTACTTACCAGTGAATAAAGTCTATTTTTATAGCAAATCATTATTAGTATTATTTTACGTCGGTTTGGACCCGAATGTGTACTGGTACTTTTATGGCACCGGTATTACACCTGTGTACTTTACATTCTTGTGTAACTGAATATTAATACTCGTCTAGATTACAGTTACAGTAAGTTTTACTGTTATTATTATTATTGTTGAATATTATTATTTTTTTGTTTAAACTATTTTTACGACGTTATATGGCGTGAAAAAGTATTTTTAATTAAGTCAGCAAGTGATAATGAAATTGTACTAAACAAACTTGAAAATATATCATTATAATACGTGCGTACAGTACTATTGTGCTGAAAAAATCTTAATATAGTTGGAAAAACAAAATTTAATTATAATATTTAATTGTGTACCTGTAATGCAATCAATACAGTTTATTAAATAATAAATTATATACGAATTATTACTACATGCTATGTGTAAATGCGCTAAATATAAAAATACTAAAATCAATATCGACTTATTAGTATTCTTATATTTTAAAAATATTGCTAAATTATATGTTATTACCGCACACACTCTACTACACTGTAATATTGATTTCAAATAACCTTGCCCTTACAATACTGTAATGCAAGCAATTTATTTAAGTAGTTTATTATTATTTATTATTATTGTTATACAACTTGTATCCCATGTCTAGTGCCGATTACATGTACATTAATACAGTATTAATTCGTATTTAATTAGTATTATAATTACTTTTCCACTAGATAAATCCAAAGTTTTATAATATTACTTGACAATGTTTAGTGCAGTTCAAAACTAATCTCGCTAAATCCTTTATTCCGGTAGTAATTAATTTATGGCAATAACAAATTAATTTTGTACTTACAAATACATTTTTATAGTTAGACCTATAAAGTTATATTTTTTTAAAACATGTTAGATTTAGTAAAATAGTGTAATTAATACAATTCTGCTTGAATATTAGTACAACTTTTAAGTAGTGAACAGTGATAATAATACATAATTTAAATAATTATCTATATTAGAAAATTAATTTGTAATGTCTATAAAATATACAATTAACAATTTTAATTCAAATGTAACATTTCAGATTTTTGAAATTATTATTATTATTAATAACAGTGTTAGCTTACAACAATATTTGAGGAATTTTTGTATTTATATCAATGTACTATAAAAATGTACGATAAATTGTGTATTATTAAGTATAAGGTACAAACATTGGTATGACAGGACATTTTTAATTCCCTTAATCCAAACATACAATGCATCAGTTTTCGATCACATGAATAGTGCAAAATGACTACAAAATTAAGTTTATATCAATACAATAATTATTTCTCTCTCTCTCTCTCTCTCTCTCTCTCTCTCTCACACACTCTACTACACTGTAATATTGATTTCAAATAACCTTGCCCTTACAATACTGTAATATCTCTCTCTCTCTCTCTCACACACACACACACACACACACTCACTCACTCACTCACTCACTCACTATAATATTATTGTACTTGTACATAATTTATATTTAATTATATTAGTATTTGTATTGAATATCTTCATGTTTTGATATAACAAAATTTAATTATAACATTTATTTGTGTAAATATAATGCAATTAAATACAAATATTAAATCTAATAAACTCTAATATAATATTAAACATCAAGTAATTTAAATAAATATAAAATTGACAATATCAATTCATTTAGTATACTGAATTATTATTATTAAAATTTGATTATACTGTACATAACTAAAATCATATAAGAAATCATTTGTAAAATGTCAAAAATAATTACCACATTACTTAAAATATTGAAATCAGCCTAATGAAATTATTTATTAAAAGAATTTTGAACACAAAAAAGTTTTTTATCGCAAATATAAATACTAATATTTTTTGATATTATTAAATTTGAATTGATTAAATAAATGATATTAAGTATGAATTCTTTGTATTCATAAATAAGTAATAAATAAATAAACTGAATATTTGCATACTGCTATTAATGTACAGACTTTGTAATATAATATTGATACTAATGTTAGAAATGTTGTATACTGTAAAATATTATATATAAATATTACATAAAATAATTTTAATAACGTTAATGTAATTAGTATTTGATCCTCGATTTCAACGTTTATAACAAAATATTTTTAAATAATATTAATTTTGTTGATAATCTAAATTACTTTGAAAACAATGAAATTATTGAACAATCATTTTATCCTGATACTACGCTTAATACTATGGCTGAACAGACTTACGGGTATAACGTATGGGGGCATAGATTTTGATAGAAGTGGTCGTATTTATGTGAACACATTTTGGAAATACTGGGGCTATTTAGCTACCGGTGCGATACTTGCCCTCGAAATGAACAACATAATAATCACGTTTTTAACTCAAATGACGCACCTGGAGGTCGATTTGTTTAATCCACTACTAACATATACAATGATTTTAAATATGATCCTGATCACAATTCAAAACGTATACGTTTCATACTTTATAAACCGACACGGTTTTCATATAATCTCTATTGTTTATTATAAGCTTGGTCGTTTTTCTAAGCTTATTCCAAAAGTTAGCATGGCAATTTGCGTAATATTCGCTTTATGGCTAGTACATTTTATGCTAATATTAGGTCTATTTGTTTATGTGTTGCCAGTTGCTCAGGGTAAATGGATAATAATTTCTAGTACTCTCGAACACATAGTAGTATTATATTTTACATGGGTCATTCCACTATTTATCTGGATCATTTCATTACATGTCATAAATTTACTTGAGTATCTCAATAAAAGTCTGGCAAACATATTGGATAAACATAAAGGTATTATTTTGAAATGAATATTTTAATAAAATAATAATACTTTTATCAAATAATTTTATTAATTATTATTAACACCGTTAGTTATTAATGTAATTTAAAAATAATTTATCCAGGTATGTCAGCATATAAAACAATAATATATTTGCAAGACTACAAGCAAATGTTCATCACGATAAACAACGCGATAAATGAAATTGATAAGAAATTATATGTGATCATGGCACTAAATACGGTGACCACCATATATAATGTAATGCTAAGCATATTTATACTGTCCATCATAAACGAGGCACCGGTAATGAAAGGCTTCGCACTGGCCATCGGTTTCAGTAGTATGTCATTTGCCATACAATTCATAGTCTCGTGTTTCGTATGCGGAAGGGTTTGGAGTAAATGTGCGGACATTATGACCGTTTTGGACGATATTAACGCTAGGGATCTGTCGGATGAGGAGTTTCGGGAATGGCTTACGTTTGCGACTGTAATGCGAAATACGCGTACATTTGGGTTCACTATCGGAGGGTTCGCTAGGCTTAACAAATCCACACTTATTTCGGTTAATCATATTTAAGTTA